TTTTTTGAGAGTATTTTTGCATGGCTATATGCAAAAAAGTGTTGGCTAGCGATCTGCGAAAACCAGAGATCGATATCTCTTTCTATGGGGGAGTTATTCAAAATTTAGTCAGGGACATTGCTTTTTGGAAACGATAATAGGTTGTAGTAAAAATTTTAGTCGAGAAAACCTTTCTTTCAGGAGTTATAGGCGTCGCAAGCAATTCTGGTCCAAAACCTCAAAAGCACGGAGTTTTCAGTAAAATGAGGTTTTCTCGACAACGACACGTCATAACGAGCTAAAATTTTTAGCCGAGCTTCCCAGCGTGTCATCTTAAAAGGCGGCCGTGTCTTGGTCACTTTTTCGAGACATTTCAACGGAATGGGCTGGAACTTGTAGGATGGCATCTTAAGACAAGCATGAGTATCTGATAAAACTTTTGGTTCATACTGGTGTTGTTTGATCGAGTTACATGTAGTTCTTTCGTACGAGGCGAAAGTCGAAAAGTTAGTATCATATCCCCGAATATTTTATAGTGAAATTTCCGTTGATGATAGCAGAATACCTCAGCTACGTAAGGGACGGGATCGTGTACGTTATCAGCGTTTCTTTCGTCGCACATATCGTAAAATATGAGCTAGAACCGTTGAAATTTGAATGAAGTTCAGAGGGATTCAGACTTTAGTCAAATGCTGTATATTTTTGAAGAGGAAACTTCTGCTTTTCTGTAATTTGTCTGATCGTTTATTTCTTGATAAAAAATGCTCTCAGATGCTGCTAAAATTACACTATAATCAGCGGAGATGATGCAAAAGCAATCAACAGTGGAACCACCTCAAAATACTGACTACTCTATGTCTTAGGAATGTACCAACGAATGCGACTAGAGCGGACGTTCGAGGATTTTAAAGTCCTCTAGAGTCCGTTCAAGTCTATTCAAGTCCATCAAAGTCCCCTCAAGTCCGTCGGACTTTTCAAAGTCCGTCGGACTTTTCAAAGTCCGTTCAAGTCTAAGGTCCGCAGTTTCCCCCTTGCTTAAAACACACCTGGACATATGCAGCAACGTTTTCTTTGTGCAAATCATGTAAAATAAGACGTTTAAAGCCAAGTTTCGGTTCAGTTGTCCACCAAAAACTGAAAAATTGATGAAAAACACGAACTTTTCATGAGTCGTTTGTTTTAACATTAAGACATAAGCCGTTCAGTGAAACAGATGGTTCGCAAATCAGAAAGAAATTTTGAACATATAGGAAAGGAGACAAAAATTTACGAAACTGAAAAATTGGGAGTTTTTAGGCGTTGAAGGAAAAAATTAGAAACTTCATAACGTTATCAAGAAAGGTCGTGGAAAGTTAAGAGTGGTCTTATTTTATAGCCCAGACTTTCCTCTACATTGGGCGATGTTCAGCTCAAAATGAAAAGTTTTTGCAAAAAAAGAGGGCGGAGGGAGGTAGCCTTAAAGCAACGATGATGAAGTAATTCTCTAAAGCAGAGGGAGAAAATTTTCGATAACAAAATGCAGTGTGACAACGCAGCACGTAGAATAAAAGTAGTATACATTATTTCATAGCCTAAAGTTGCATTTTACTGTGTTCGACATCATCGTTACTCTTTGTTCAACGAAACCAAAACATAATAATGTTCTTGATTTGAGTTTAAAAAGATAATGTAAGCACGTACCGAAGGAAATACAATACGTAAAATTATGTTAAGACGGATTAGTTGAAATTATTAGTTTGAAATTTTGTGATCAGTTGAATTGTGGTTTGCGAATGTCCACAAAAATTGACGAATGTCTTACTGCGACAATCACCAATGGGCGAATGTCGCGTGGACATTCGCCAACAGTTGCGAACGTCGCGTGAGCATAACAATAACAAATAAAAACAGTTTTTTTTTTGTTTTATTGAAGATCGGTAAAAAAGAAAAAAAGTTTTGATCACACAAATTTTGCCTCGTATTCAAGATAAAATGAGTTCACACACAGTCATAAAACAGTGGATATTTTATGGCAAGAAAAAAACATTTAAATTTTAGAAAATATACATATGAAAGTTGAGGTATCATAAATCTTGATATTAGATAAGCGTACAGCTATTATATATAGCTATTCAGAGCAGAAAATGCGCATATACTCACTTGTGAAAGAAGAAAAGAGGCGAGAGAAGAAATTAGTCCACGCGCGAAGTGATAGTCTCTTATTTTTAAACATTCAGTAAAGAATATCCAATGAATACGGAAGATGGATATTGCCGAATATCGCCGCGACATTCGCCAATAATTTAGATTATCGGCGAAATGGGTATCACTCTTGGCGAATGTCAGTTTGGCGTATTTCTAATCGCAAATCTAAGAATCTGTCAGTGAGCCAACTTGAGTTTGAAGAATAAAAAATTTCTGTATTTATACTTAACGACCAATCTTCACCACATTTTACACATGGGAACGCGTGAAGCATAAGAGATTTTTTTAAGAAAATTCTATGATTTTTGGAAATCTTAGGAATTTTTTAGGAAATATTAAGTGGGATCCCAGTGAATACTTCCTCCAGCACTAAGAGATGACGTTTAATCATAATTTAAAAACGGATAAATAGTGTAAATACTGTTAAATACTGTCACTTGCGGCTAAACGTGAGTATTATTCACGAAATGAATTGCGTGAAAAACTGACGTGTCTATAAACGTCAAGCGATATTTTTCTCAAGGAAATCAGTGCGAAAGATTTTCACGCTTGTCCGCAAGTGATATTTTTCTACGGAAATTTTAACTTCAGAAATTAACGTATGGCCACTACACACTTAACGATCGGCATCTGTGACTGCATGCGAAAAATATGACGAGAAAAGTTTTCGTGTCACAAGTGGAATATGTTTTTCAAGCGTGCCTGCAGACCATTTTATGGTGTTCACGTGCGACCACAGTTCACTTCACGATATTCACGTATGTACATGCCGTTCTATATACTAAAATTTCCCCATGGGCAATCCTATGTCATCGTTTGCCATCTGTAACACTATTTTATCAGTGCCCAAAAGATAATACTGCAACAATGGGGGAAATGGATTCCTCAACCTAATCTTATTGCAGAGAAATATGAGATGTACTTGTGAAATTATTTATTTTCAAGAAAATATGTTATTTCATCACTAGCAAACAGGATTCTAATCAGTTTTGATAAGAATATGAGATTACCGGCGAAGGTCCTTGACCATTTAAATCATTCATCACATGGATTTTCATTTGATTATAATCTGGTGCAGTTGCTCCATATGGCTGAATTTGTGAATGTCCATTTGAGTAAGATTTTCCTAGAACATAGTATGGCTCTCCAGGAGTCATTTCACTTCTTTCCAAATAATATCGATAAACAACTGTTCTATTTGTATCATAAACTGACCATCGATATAATTTCATTATGAAATCGTCACCCGGATAAAATGGAACAGGATGAAAAAATTCCCCTGCTTCTACATGATATGGACCAACATCAAATATATCTCTACCAAAACTATCTGTATTTGGTGGCCATAAGTCACCCAAAAAGTGCCTAAGTTCTTTTAGTTTTAATACAATGCGTTCGGCATTAAGTCGATCCTGTTTCACTTGATCGTTGTCGTCAGCGAGGATTGATAATTGGATTAAAGCTTGTGTACAATTATGGAATAGTTCACCAATAGCATACGTTAGTTCATGAGGAGTTGTTTTAAAATTTTGTTGCCATTCTGGGCCAGCTTCGTCAATGGTACGTAAAATGAGTTCTACGTCGATTGAAGTTGGCATTATGTCGTTACTTCAGTAATCATAAGTTTCGAAAACTCGATAAAGTGGAAACTAACGTCGAAATTCTTTAAATGTCCTTCTATCTAATAATAAATTTCACGTCGATATACTCAGGAAATCTGCTTACTTCAAAGTTAGAAATATTCATTTAACGGGTGCGTTCTTTTTCTCTATGTAATTTCACAATCAATGAGTCATATTTACGCATGGCAGAGGTGATACACTTCTTTTATTTTACTGTCGATCCTGCTATATTATTGTGCTTTTATGCTTATAGTGTAATGAGTAATATGGCATGATCTACAGTAGAATAAAAAAAGAGTATTACCTTTATCGTGCGTAGATACGACTCATTAATTGTGAAATTATATTAGCTTATTCGTCTACGCGAGTAGACATACAACAAATTTGCCTGTGACAAATTTGCACGTGATACCCATTTTTCAAAAAACACAATTACCTTTCTTTTTTTTCGGAAATCACACCGACAGCAGTTTCTTGTTTTGACGTTTTGTGTGATTTTATTCGAAAGAATACAATCTGTGAAGGCTAACAAAGGGAGGCTCATTCGTTTTCCAACGAACCTACCGACACCATAGTGTGAAAAGACTTTTGATTATGGATTCTACGATGATTCAATAGGAGGCAGAAGCTGATATTTTTGTCAAATATAGCGATACTTTGTAATATTGAACTGACACAGGTAAGAGAAGCCGATGCAGATATTCTTATACAATCATATGTTTCTTTCTACGCATGGCAGAGGTGATACACTTCTTTTATTTTACTGTCGATCCTGCTATATTATTGTGTTTTTATGCTTATAGTGTAATGAGTAATATGGCATGATCTACAGTAAAATAAAAAAAGAGCATTACCTTTATCATGCGTAGATACGACTCATTAATTGTGAAATTATATTAGCTTATTCGTCTACGCGAGTAGACATACAACAAATTTGCCTTGGTATTTGGTGATTTAAACTGAAATATCTGACCGTAATCTGGTGCTTTACTGTCTTATGTGCTCTTTACGCACTTAGCTTCAAACCGGTATCCTTTAAACCGTCAGTCCTTCTGTGATATGCCACGATCCCGTAGTGCCGTATTGCGAACTGAAGTTAGAGAAAGGCAAACGAGTAATCTGACTAACAAAGGAAGCTGCAGAAATCCACCAAAATGTATAACTGCTGCAGACACAAAATTAGCAAAATGCATTGAAAACTGCAATACTAATAAATCTAACTTGAATATGCACTCAAATCTCAATGAAATCGACCTAAGTACGAGGATTAATGAAAATCTTGAAACATTCTCACTTGTGTGGCTTGATAACAATTTGAATGCTCAGGAAAACGTAGAAACGCAAACTCGTTTGCGAGCTGTTATTAATTATTTGCGATTATTTGATAATGTTACAAAATGCGAAGAATATATTTTTGAAGCAAAAGATGAAAAGATTATTTTTATTGTATCAAGTGAGCTGGGCTATCAAATCATACCACGAATGGAATTTTTACCTCAAATGATTGCCATATACATTTATAGTTTAAACGAAAACTACTACCAAAAATGGACAGAAAAATATCCAAAGGTAACAAATAAAGAGTTTCTCGCTTCAGTAGGATTATATCTGATAATTAGAAACTTCAACTCTAACTCGTGTAGATCATAAGTTGGTTTCTCTTCTCTAGATAAAGGCGAGCTTTTCTCAGTCCTATGAGCTCCTTTCAAAAATAGCAGCAGATCAGGCAAAGTATGATCGAACAGAAGACATATTAGCAATAAATATTTTTATTGAGAGTACGAGAGAACGCACACATACCAATATAAAGTTGGAGAGTGGACGTTTCACGTGGTTTTATTTATTTATCGAAATATTGCTTCGCATGAAAGATCCGGAAAAGGCAAAACACGATCTCATGCAAACTTGTATGAATTATTATTGGGAAAATGCTATCGGTCAACGAGTAGTTCGTGAATTTGAGCAAACATATGATTCGACCCAAGCTCTTCGATGGTATTCAAGAGATTGCTGTTTTTATCGTTTGCTTAACAAAGCATTTCGTTTTGAAAACATCGACTTACTTTTTTCATTTCGTTTTTTTATTAGTGATATCGTTAAACAGATGAAAACACTTAATGATGAACAGCCGATGGATAGTGAACAACCAACTGCACACGTTTATCGAGGGCAATCCATCTCAGAAAAAGAATTGTGTTTAATCAAATCATGCAAAGGAGAACTTATTTCCATTAGGAGCTTCTTTTCTACAACTCGTTCTAGCGAATTAGCACTCGGCTATCTTGCAGCAGGCGTGTCAAATGACTGTTTAGTACGCGTTGTTTTCGATATCGAAGTTAATAATCACGCTAGATCTGGCCAATTTGCAGATATATCAAAATGCATGCCTGCAAACTTTAATGAACAAGAAGTGCTTTTCCGGTACGGATGCATATTCCAAATTGTTAATGTTGAACCGCTGGAAAATGGTATTTGGGTGATTCACTTATTTCTCCGAAGTG